TTCCCCAACTATTTTTTAAAATCCAATAAGGAATGTCTTTGTCATTTACTCCATATCCTATAACCTCCATTGAGTGAGATCCTAAAGATTCGTAGTTACACTCTTCTGAACTTGGTGAAAAAATTCCTCCTTTATAATGATACATGCTTTTAGTTGCATTCATTCCTTTTTAATTTTTAAAAATATTTTTTTTAATTTTAATTACCAAAAGTAACAGGCCCGTTTGTGGCAATCCAATCAGCAATTTGATCCTCATTTGAAGGCAAAGAACGCCATTCATCGATAAAAACGCGTTGAGTTGGATCCTTAATATTTTTGATTTTATAGATCAAATTCTTTAAGGTATGTTCTTGATATTAATTAAATTTTATTTTACTATTGGACCAGAAGGAAGTTGGCATTTTCCATCATTACCACGATACTTAAATTTTAATTTAAAAATTATATTGCCAAATTTCATTTTTTAAAAACCCACTGGATAGGCATTTTCTGAGAAAAGACCTTTATCTCGAATATAACTAAAATTAATTTTTAATTTTTGAAATTCATAATAAATTATTACCGTAATGCATAAGGACGGAAACCACCCTCACATCCATTTTCAGCCGAATCACAATCAATTAATTGCTTTAAAAAATTTTTTAAATATTTTTATTATAGAAATAACTTGTTCTGAAAGTCTAACAAGTGTTCCATTTTGAATAGCATGCATTGTTTCGACCATTCCAACAACAGAAAAAGCCCAACATGAGCCACAATTTACTAAAATATCAACTTTTTCTATTAGTTTTTCTAACTCACATTGGTTTTTAACGTGTGTAACAACACCTTTTTCTCGCCAGTCCCATTGTTTTGGACGTACATATCCTTGTTTTGTTTCAACTTTAATAACTTTGTTCAATTGTCTCACTTTTATTTGTTCATTATAATTATGTGTAATTAATAACTTAATATTTAAATATTTATGTTATGAATATTTTTATTACTTTTGCTATTTCCTCTTCAGTCCAATCAAAAAATTCGGTTACTCCCCAAATAGTTTGGCCTTCAATTCCTTGTTTTCTTTCCTGATCCAAACGTTGTTCAAGTAAATACATGTTTAAAGAAAAGGCAATAAAACGTTTATTTAGTTCATCATATGAAGAATAATTACGAGAATAACTTTTAAAATTAGTTTTTAAATTCTAGTGAATATTTTTACGTTTTTTGGAATATCTTAAATTCATTATGAAGCCGTTTATATTGATAAAAACGATCTTTATCCGTCGTTAATTCATTATTATTTAAACACAATATCCGTTGAAAAAGAATTGCTAATCCGGTCATCAATAGAAGAAATGAAGAAGCAAGCAAAAATATTTTAAACACAAAAGAACTTTAAAAAATTCTTAAATTATGCCGTTTGTAATTATCTCTCAAACCTCGCCAAATATAACGAACGGACAGAAAAATTAAACTTGTATAATTCTTCAATTGAATTTATTTGGGGCAAAAAATAATTAGAAATATAATTTTTTGATTTAACTGAATTTATCTCATTAGATGATTTTACTGGCATATCATTAGGGAATAAGGAAGTTGGACGATCTCCGTAGTCAGATCTGGCATCGCTTTTTTGTGGAAAATCGTCAATTTGATGGTAAATCATTTAAAATATTTATTTTTGAGGGGAAATATCTTAATTAAAAATTAATATTATTTAAATGATTAAAACTTCAGTTAACGCTAATATTATACCTATGTTTACTATTGTCTGATTTCTGATAAGAATTTTAAAACTGGTGTTATTTTGAATTCTCATTTTATTAAATAGATAAGAAAAATCAATGATAGTTATATTATTTACTTATTTTATTATTTCCATGATAAGAATCTTAATTTCGTTTAACGGGGCGCCGCAAAGGTCGTGAGCCACAAATGTTGCGCGCCGCAAATGTCGTATTGGACAAAGGTCTATGAACGCAAATGTAAGTTCCATAAATGTCGTTTTCGCAAATGTCGCATTAAAAATGTACAAATTTTTTTAAATTTTTTTTTAAATTTAGATTTTAAAATTAATTTTAATAATTCTAAACCTACATATACATGCAACCAATAAATATTTAATTTAATCAAATAATATGATTAGCCAAAATCCGTCTACCGATCAATCTTCATTTTTTTCACCATTGTCAGAAGATATTTTAATTAGTCCAGCAACCAATTCTAATGAAAAGCATAATCAAACACCACAATTAAAGGTTTTAATTTAATAAAAATTATAATCCTTAATTAAAATTTAAATTATTTAGTGTAGAAGAAGATTAACTTTGGAAAATTCAAATAAATCTAAAAATACTGGAACTGAAATTAAAAATAATAAAAATAAAATCGATAAAGAAACAAATGAAGGTTTGACTTTAAAGTATATTTAATTTTTCATACATGAAGGTGGAACCGATTCTGCTCGACAAGATAGTTCTCTTCTAAGTCTTACTAAGAAGTTTTTGGCTTTACAGATGCAAAAACCAGGGGTAATTTTAATGGAAAAATTTTTTTATTTTAAGCACAATTACTTCTTTAGAATATTTTTTTTAATTTTTAAAGGTTCTCAACTTAAATGAAGCAGCTGAATTACTTGGTTTAATACGATTATATTTAATAAAATTTTTATTTTTTGAAAAGGTGTTCCAAAAAGACGTCTTTATGATATTACCAATGTACTTGAGGGTGTTGATCTTATTGAAAAAATTGGCAAAAATAGTATTAAATGGAGGTTATTTTTGATAAAATAAAAATATTATACTTCTTTTAATTTTTCTAGGGATCAATCAGAGTTTACAAATTCAGTAACATATCAAAAATTAAACAAAGAAAATATTGAATTAATTAATGAAGAAATAGGTTTAGATAAATTTATTCAATCAGTCTCGTCTTCACTTAAATTAGCAAAAGAGGACCCAACAGATGCTTTTTATAGGTTTTTATAAATTTATTTTAAGAATATTTTTTTAATAAAGTTATTCTCTTTTAACTGATTTTCGTTCCTTGGATAATTTTAAAAATAAAATGTTAATTGCTGTTAAAGCTCCAAAAGATTCATCATCTTCTATTGAGGTTTGTATTTAACAATTTTTAAATAAGTGATCGTTCCGAATAAAATATTTAAAAAATTTCATATTTTTTTCGCTTTTAGGTTGTTGATCCAAATGAAACTCAAGTAAATAATTAGTTTACATTTCTAAATTATAAAATTAAATTATATTTTAAATTTTAGAAATTTGAAGTTATTATTAAAAATGAAAATGGTGGACCTTTAAATTCTTTTGTTTGTCCGGAAGATATTAATGAAAATATTGAAGAGGTTCTTTATTATGAATATATGGGTACACCTCACGAACCCAGGTTACCGCGAACCTCCTATGACTTCGTTCAGAATTTTTGAATCCGGGACGTACTGGGATGGCTGAATCGAACCATACCACGTGGTCTCGGATTTGACAATTTTGGCTCGGCGGTACCTTGGTCTTCTCCCAAATATATTTTTTATTTTAACTAAAAGTATTTTTATTGTAGAATAATTCAATAAATAAATTAACTCCTTCAAAATATTCAAATAAACAACAAAAACAGCAAGAATGTAGACAATTTACTCCCCCTTTTTCACCAATTAAAATGGCAATGCTTCTTTCTTCACCTTGTAAAATTGACAATAAATATTTGCAAACTGAAGCAATTTCTTCAAATAAAATTGTTTTTATTTTTATTAAATTTTAATTTAAAGAACAAAATTATTTTTTAGGAATTTTTACAAGAAAATACTTTACTTTCATTAGACCCTCCAATTGAAGAAAATAATATTAACCCTTATTATAATTTGTCACTTTTGGATGAACAACAACAAAATTCTGATGTTAGTATTTTAAATGCAATATTTGGAAATGATTTTTAAAAATGGTTTGATTTTTTAATTTTTTTCGCAAATTTATTTTTTTTAATTATCTTGTGATTGAAGGCAACGAAATTAATGTTACGGCTAAATTTCATTATAGGGTTATCAAAAATTTTGGCTCTGGTCCATTAAAAAGTTTATGAATCCAATAAAAACTCGTATAAGTCCAAACAAAATTTTACGATTCCAATTTAAATCGGGGAGTACACCTTTCCTCTGCAAAAGTTTTTATTTTTTTACAATTTTAATTTTGTTGTCTTCAATTCATTTTTGATTATTCCTTTAAATCTAAAGAATTTTCAGTTTAAAAAAATTTTCTAAAAAAATTTCTGTTTTCGCCATTTATGTGCATTAAAATTTTTTGTCAAATAAATCTTTTTCTTACTTAATCTTTTTTTAAACAGTGAGAATTTATAGGTAAATATTTTTTAAATTAATTTGTCAAATAATTAATCAAATTTAAAGTAATAATTCGCCCAATTTGTCATTTTTATGGTAATTTAAATTAAAAAAAAACAAAATACAAACAAATAAAATATTTTTTTAAATTTTATAATAAAATAATTGAATGACGCAAAAAGATATGAAGAAATAAAATTAAAATCAAATTTGATGCGCATACAGGCGTAAATTTGGCGAATTATTTGAGTGTTTTGATTGAAAAAATGTGAAGTTGGGGGACATTTTAAATAAATGTTCGTCCGTAAATAGATTTGCGGACAAAAAATTTTAACAGAAAAACAAAAAAAGAATGGTAATATTTTCTACATTTTATATGGATAAAATCAAAGTTTATATGCTAACTGATCTTTTAAATTAAATAGAAATTGTTATCTTGTAATTTTACAAAATAAATGCTATTTCATTTTAAACAAAAAATTTCAAAAAAATCCGCAAAATTAAAAAAAAATCCCCATTAAATTTTTACAATCAAAAAAAGAAGAAAGAAAAGATGATCGAAAACTTGACAAACAATTATAAAAGAACACAAATTATTCACTTCTGGCCAAATATAAATAAAAGAATTAAATTGTCTATAAAACAATTTAAAGAAAAACAAAACTTGAGAAAATGAAAAGATTTAACAATTTTTCTTTGATTATTTTTCTATTTTTGCTAATTTTGTTGTTAAATTTATGCCAAGCAAAGATGCGATATGAGTCAGTATTATCAAGACGGACAAAACGCTATGGTTATGGGGGATATGGCGGATATGGATATGGTCTGTATAAAAATATTTATTATTAGGAATTTTTTGTGACGTAAAATTGGCGTGAGATAACATGAATATTTTTTACCATCCTGAAATTGAAGTCATTATTTTAACTATAATTATTTTTAAAATTATACACTATATATTTCAGGTGGAGGTATGGGAGGTGGATGTTGTCAGTGTGGAATGTGCGGGGGTGGTGGTTATTCTGGAGGCTATGGAATGGGTGGAGGTTGCGGATCTTGTGGAGGAGGTAATAAATTTAAATGTTTAAAGCAGGGCTCTCATTCGTGCTTTATTTGAAAGTATTATACTTTGAAACCGACCTCCATACTTAAGAAATTGAATTTATACTTTATTGAAAGTATATACTTTAAAATCAACATTTTGGATTGAAAATGAAATTGGGGAAGGGATTGGGCAAAAAAGTGAATTTTTTTAGCCTTGGGCCTTCGAAATTATCAAAATTTTCGCCTGCGGCGCTGAAAAAGAAAGAAATCTGGCTTCTTGGGCTCCAAATTTCAAAAAATTTTCGCCTGCGGCGCTGAAAATGGGAGAAATCTGACTACTTGGGCTCCAAATTTCAAAAAATTTTCGCCTGCGGCGCTGAAAATGGACGAAAGCTTGAGGTTAAGACTGTCAGGGCTTTATTTCTTGTATCAGCGAATTTTGACATGTCATGCGTTGAAATGCACAAAATGCCCAATGGAAGCAAGAAATTATTAGAAAAGATTCATTTAAGAGAGAAATATAAAAGATTTGAGCACGAACAAATATTTTCCAATTTAATTTTGAGTATACTTTAAATTTGGAAATTTTCTCCCTATATACTTTTTTATCAAGATTTTGATACTTTTGAGTGGCATTTTGTCGATGAGAGCCCTGGTTTAAAGACATAAATTTTAGTAGGAATAATTCGAATATTTTCTAAAGGACAAGAATATTTAAAAATATTTTTTAATGTTAGGATATGGACCGTTTGGTGTTGGTGCTGCTGGACTCTTACAAGGCGTTCTTTTCGGAGGAAAATAATCCTAAAAAATTTGAAATGAGGATGAAAAATAGTTGATCCTCTTTTATGTTATATATGTACATAATATTCATTTATACGACAGTTGAAAATTTTGTAATTAGGACTTTCGTTGAACATGTATTTTGGTAGTTTAGACTACCTTAAAACCTAAAGCACAAAAATTATATTAATTTTCTTGTTCTGAATTATTAAATATGTATTTATTCAGCACTTCTATTTTTAATCTCAGAAATTTTAAAAATTTAAAAGCATATTTTATGTTAAAAATACTGATAACATTGTTTATTTTTGATGAATATGGTCGGTTTTATATTATAGTTTTATTAAATCAAATAATTATTTTTTATTGGTTAATAAATATTATAATTAGCTTTTCTGATAAATTCGGTAACACTACAAGCTGGAGCCAATCTTGATTTGAATGTAGTAGTTCTGGTACAGAAATCTTTTGTCAGAGAAGGATGCAATGATTTGCTCTTGTTGGATGGTAAGAAAGGAATTTCTAGTTAAATTGATAAATAAATTGCCATAAAATAGTCCTGTACACGGATAAGCGTCTTGATATTATCTGTATCCGTGTCCATGCACAGGTCTTTAGTATGAAAATTTCTTAAAATTCCCCTATCATCGAAAGATTGCATTAAACGCAAATGTACACAGAATGTCCTGTATAAAGTTGATTTGGGTTATAGCAAAGTGAGAAGAAGTGCGGAAGGTACATTAACAAATTATTCTCAAAGTATGATTAGACGAAATAATGAAATGCTTGAAAAAATTGCAATAAAAAATTCTCAAATGCAAAATGATGCTTTCCAACCTTTTTTGTGAATTTAAAAATACTTTAAAATTTTTTTAAAATATTTAAGATATTTAGAATTTAAGCGTTTAATAGAATTATTTTATAATGGAAATAAAAGAATATTTGCACTTTTCAATATTTCAATGTTTGAAAATAGAGATGATTTCAATTAAAAAATCTTTTTTAGGGAAGAATTGATTAATGAAAAATTAGAAATTGTTGAAAAGAATAATTATTGTGATAATAAACTGGTATTTCTATTTATTTTTTAAAATAATTCTATTTTATTAGCTTCCAGAATTTGAGAAAATAAAAAAAGAATTGTTACAAATCTTAACAAATAATTGGAAAAAACCAATTGTTTCTTCAAGTAACGACTCGAGATTGTCGGTTAACTTTTTTGATGCAATTAAAAGGAGAATTATTCCATCTCCTATTCAAGTATAAAATTTTTCTTAAGTATTTCATAAATTATTTAAAAAGATGATAGACGCAATGAACAATCCAATTCAAAAATCAATGATTATTAAAGTTATTTTAATTATTTTAAATCTTAAAATAATTAACAGTACACTAATCAACTTTATTTGCTTCTGTTACGTTTATCTGTATTAAATGGAAGAGGAGAAAAACAAAAATTAGATGGAAAATGCCTTTCACTTCTCAAGGAAGTCAATCGGATAATTGAAGTAAACAAAATGTTTTAAATTATCAAAATATTTTAAAACTCTGATAAAAGAATGAGCCAATAGTTATTCGCTTGAATTACTCGCCTTCTCGTAGTCTTTTCATTCGTGATCTTGAATCATTACTTAAAACTCGTGCATCACGTGGTCAACGTGGATCTTATTATGAAAATAATATGTCTACGTAAATTTAGTACTCTATTATAAATCTATTAATTTTTATCCAGTATTAGATTTCGTTTTATGTCAATGACTGCTATAATAATGGAAGAATCACGTGAATATAACAGTTTTAATTTAATGGGTTTTAATTGAAAATAATTCAAATACTTTAAATATTATTCTAGTCGATCTTGGCTCAACACTTGGACTTTATTTTGGACTAACAATCTTAACAATTTTTGAATTTATAATTTTTATTCTTTATCGTTCTGCGTCTCATAACCCAGCAGAAGTACAAAAACCTCCACCGGAATCAGTTATTTACAACATTCCTCTTAAAACTAACATAAACAAAAAAGAATTAAGACAAAGAAAGAAAAAGAAAAATTATATAATACCTATAATTTCTTAAAAATAAAACATTTGAAATTATAAAACGTATCTTGAATAGAGTTGGGACAAAACAATGTAATACCTTTTTGCCTTGTACCATTTTGTCTTTAATACTATTTTGTCGCAAGTACCATTTTGTCTTTAATACCATTTTGTCCCAAGTACCATTTTGTCAATACTAGTCTCTAATTGAAAATTTTATAATTGAAAATTAAATGTCTTTAATGTTTTATTCCTCTTTGTTTCTTGTTAAAGGAATTAATTATTATTCTAGACGAGGTCTTAAGGTAATAAAAACTTTTTTTTCATTTTTAAAAATATTTCCTAGACTCGTCTTCCTCTTATTTCTGAACTCAATAAAATTAGAAATATAGGCATAATAGCCCATATTGATTCTGGAAAGACAACATTAACAGAACAATTACTTTATCAAACGGGGAGTACCCAATCTGTTGGTTTTGTAGATGAAGGGAGTACAATAACTGATTTTATGGAAATTGAACGGGAAAGAGGTTTTTATTAGGAATTTTTTTTAATATTTTAAAAATTTTCCCATTATTTTTTAAGGTATAACAATTCAATCTGCATCAATTTCTTCTCTATGGAAAAATCACAGAATTAATTTAATTGATACTCCGGGTAAATTTTTACTATAAAATTTATTTAATTTTTTTTAATTTTAAGGTCATGTAGATTTCACCGTTGAGGTCGAAAGGTTTTTATTAAAAATTGGTTAGCTACCTTTTATTTTTAGAAGTTTACGAGTTCTTGACGGCGTTGTTACTGTTTTGGATGCATCAGCGGGCGTTCAGGTTTTTCTGAATAAATATTTCTATAATATTTTCAGGCTCAAACTTTGACAGTATGGAGACAGGCAAATAAATTTAGTTTGCCTTCAATATTTTTTGTAAATAAAATGGATAAACCTTGTGTTGATTTAAGTTTTTGTGTTGCATCTATTGAAGAGAGACTAAATGTTAAAGGTTCCTGGCAAAAAATATTTTTTAATCATTTTTAGTTATTCCTATTGTTTTACCCTTTTTTAATAAAGATGGGCATTTGGAAGGATTTATTGATGGTAAGTAAATTATGTATAAATAATTTTTATTTTCATTTATTTTTAGTTTTAAACAATTTGTTTTTAAAGTTTACAAGAGAAAATAGAATACAAAATAATAGTTTTGAATGGATACATATAGAGGTATTATTTTAAATTTTTAAAATGAAAGAAATTTCTTTTAGAAAAATTCTCAAATAGAACAAATTTTATTATCTGGATTTGAAGATATTTGCCTTAACCTTGCTGATATTGATTCAGAATTTGAAAAAGAAATAATAAAATATCCGAATTTAAGAAATATTCCTAAAGAAATGGTTATTAAAGGTTTTTTAAGTTACAATTATTTAATATTTTTATATAGCTCTTCGTAGAAATTTAATTTCAAGAAAATTATCCCCGCTTGCTTGTGGTTCAGCTTTGCATTGTTCATTGAGTATTTTGCCTGTTTTGGATATGATTGTCGATTTTTTGCCGAATCCTACTGAAAACGATTATAAAAATAATAAAATTGATGATGAAATTATTAAAAGTTGTGGAATTGTTTTTAAGGTTCTTAAATTTATAAATTGTAAATAGTTTGCTCTTCAAAAAATTAACATTTTTAGATTCATATTCTTTAAAAAAATCTTTAAATTGATTTTCTTAGGTCAGTCACGACACGAAAGAAGGACAGTTAAATTATGTTCGTCTCTTTAAAGGCGATATTGAACTTCCTTCAGCTGGTAAATATACGTTAATCAATGCAAATACAGGTTTGCCTTTAAATATATTTAATTATATAATTTTCACAAATTTATTATAGATGAACTTCAAAATAATTATAAAATTTTTACACCATTTAGTGATTATTTACAACCAATTGAAAAAGTTGAGAATGGGAATATTGCTGTATTTACTGGCCTCAATAATACTAAAACTGGGGATACCCTTATTATTTGGTATTTTAATAATTATGCAGTATCCTTTAAGATATTTTTAGTGATTCTTCATGCAAAAATAAATCATTTGCTCGTTTTGCATTGGAAGGTATTAATTCACCATCCCCGGTGTTTTCATGTACAATTGAATCACCAACTTTGGCTAGTGAACAGAAATTTTTAAAAGCACTTTCCGAGCTTCGTAATAATTTTTAAATATTTTTAAAAAATTATTTTATTGAAATTTATGAATTTATTTACTAATCGATTTTAATTTTCAGTTGTTGAAGACCCTTCTCTTCGGATAAGGGAGGATTCCAACACTGGACAAAAAATACTTGAGGGGATGGGAGAATTGCAAATTGAAGTCCTTCGTGAACGATTATTGAGAGAATATAAATTGGATGTTTTTATTGGGCCTATAAGGGTTTAGACAAATTTTTATAAAATTTTTTAATAATTAAAAATTTCTCTTTTTAATTGTTTTAATTAAATTATATTAAATTCATTAGATTGGTTACCGTGAATCTCCAACGAAGCCAGTTGAACACTCAAAAATAATTGAAGACTCATTATCTCAAAAATTACATCAATCTTGGATTTCTTTGAAATTTTATATTGAACCTATAACGAAATATGATAATTTTATTAGTGTGGAAAATAGATTTGGAGTATTTACTGGGGTTTGTTAAAATTCCTTTAATTAATTTTTAATTATATTACAGGTAGAGTTATCATTAGAATCAGAAAATACAGAAGAAATAGAATCTGCAAATGAAGTACTTTCAAAACGGCCAGAGTTGCTTAAAGCAATTAACGATGGTTGTAGTGTTGCTTTATTCAATGGACCAAAAATGGGATTTGCTGTTACCAATGTTAAAGTATTTTTAAAGTAATTACATATTTAAAAAAGATGTCATTAATAGGGCGTCACAAGACTTTGGAAACCTTCATAAAAATTTAATTTTTAGTTTTGTTTTCAAAAAATTTTTTAGATCTTTTACATTTTCCGGTCGTATTCAACCAACTTTATTAAGTGCCTGCGCTAGTCGTTGCCTTTCTGGTGCTTTAAGAAAATCAGCAATAAATATTCTTGAGCCTTTAATGCAAATTGAGGTTACTATCGTTGCTGGAATTTCTGGTTAATAATATTTATTTAAATAAGTCTTTTTTAATTAAGGTTTTCCTGATGTAGATAATATTTTGCATGAATTATCTAAAAGGAGGGCTCGTGTTATTAGCGTTGACAGCCAAAGTAATTATATTTACTGTATTGTCAAAATATTTATCTTTAGGAAAAACATCAATAATTACTGCATCAATTCCTTTATCAGAAACAATTGGACTTTCCAAAATTTTGAGAACAATTTCTTCTGGATTGGCAAGTTTTAATTTAGAACAAAAAGGCTATCAATCTGTTGATGTTGAAAATGTTCATATAAATATTTGAAACTTTATAAAAAGGTTTGTTGATTTTTTCATTTTATTGATAAAATTTTATATAAAAATTTGCGTTATTTGTTTATTTTAAAATTATTTTTAAATATTTTCAATTTTTTCTTTAAATCTTCTCATTCTAGCTTCATTACTAGCTGCCACTTTTTGTCTAGCATTCAAAATTGGTTTTACATTTTTTAGTTTTTTCAGCCAAACAATGATAAATATTATATAAAGGAATGGTGATAAAGCAATTAGAATAAGAAATAAAACAATATAAGGAGCTAAAAGTCGGTCCTTGATCTTTGGTGCACATGGTTCCTAAAATTGATTGTCTCAACAATTCCTCCAATTAATATTTACCTGTATTCCCATTTGTTCGAGTAATTGATGTTCTACTTTTAATTTACAACCAAAATTATTTTCAATTGGATCGGAAAGTGCTTTTCTTTTGTCTTCTGGAACTTCTGAAGTTAAGTAAAAATCCAAAAGCTTGTCTACTAATGAATGAAATGCAAAGGCGTTTGGTAATAGAGTAATAATAAACATAAAGAGTTGAATAATTAATAAAAGGCATATAGCAGCTAAAATCATCTAAAAATATTTTTTGGAATTTTCGATTTAAATTTAAAATACCCCGTATGCAATTCTACTGCTTTTACTTGCTTGTATGCCACCACGTCGACGGCAAATAATTATTCCAGCAATACTCAAAAGAATTCCCAAAATACAAATGAGAATAATTAAAATAATTTTTTGATCAGTTTCGTGGAACCTTTCTTTATATAAATTCAATTCGGATATTTGCTCTGTTCTTCTTAAAACAATTGGGCGAAGACTATCTGCCGTTGATTTTGTTGTTGGGGAAGTTTCTAAAAGGTTTGGCAATAAATTAGGTATACGTCTTTGGTTTGCTGAAACAGATTTTAAAGGCGAAAGTAAATTTAACAAGCGAAAGTTCAAAAAACGCGAAACTAAAAAAATTTTTCCGATATAATGGAAAATCTGAAAATCAGGCAAATCAAAGCTTAAGTGAAACACGTGTTTCATACAAACCTTACCTTTAGAAATTGATTCATTTCCTTCAGTAGATAACGTGCCAGTTTCTGCAATTACTGTTGTTTTTATAAAACTAGTTGTAGTAGTAGTAGAACTTTCAATTCCCACAAACTGAGCAACTTCTTTTTGCTAAAATCTTTTTATTTTTATTTACAAATAAATACCTGTAATTCTAATATTTCTTTTAGAATTCCTTCTATTAATTCAACTAATGTTCCATTTGCAGATTCATGATAAATTGTGTTTATTATTAATACAGTAGCTATTGTAACCAGACAAAAAAGCGAAATTGGGCCTATACGACTTTCCAATTTTTTGCCAAAATTGACCTTTAATAAATTTAAAGAAAATTAAAATTCTCTAAAAATTTACCAATGTTTCATCTCGAATCGAAAGTCTTGGCCTTATTCCTCCACCACGTAGACCACCACTTCCAGAATGAGTAGGTGACAATTGCTTTTGTATTTGTTGTTTTTGTGTTCGACTATTAGTTTCTTCCATTAAAGTTTAAAAACTAAAAAAATTTATTCAAAATGTAAATTATTATATTAATTCTGAGAGAAAGAATATGAAAATTTTGAAATTAAATTATGATAGTTATTAGCGAAATTGACAACTGTGATAAATTATCTTTTTTCAATATAAAATTATTGAAGAAATAAACATATTTTCTTTTTTTTTAGTTTTTCAAGTAGTTATCATTTCAGTACATGTTTGCGTAAAAAAAGTTTGTATTTGCTCATCACATGCTACAAATATAAATTGTAAATACTTTAAATTTAACCTTGAAAAAAAATAATATAAAATCTGTTTTGATGTTACATATAATTCTTCTAGATATCTACGTTTTAGAATTTTGTTTTTGAATGTTTTGAAATATTTTGAGTGTTGTAGTTATTTAATTGTAAGTTTTCACCACAATAATTCCCACAAAAAATATTTAATTAGAAGTGATGCGCAGTGTAACTGTTTTTAATTGCGTATTTTTACTTTCGCCTTTTCAATAGTATAGAATGGTAAACAAATAAAAAAAGTTTTTGGGATGAATGCCTCTTTAATTGATTGATAAAATTTTTTCGTTAAATTTAAAATAGAAAGAGAGAGTTGACGCCATATGATTTTTTGTTAACGTTCATTAAAATAAATACTATTACGTGAAAATGGCAATTAATAATTGAACTTTATGGGTTCAATAGCAAGTGTAAAATTGAAGAAATAATTTTTCATATCAACCTTTTTTACTGTTTATGGCATTCTGAAATTCTAAGGCGTTATGACAATCGGACAATGAGACAGTAAGACCATTGGTCGGAGAACGATTAGACAGAAAATGACAATTTTCATTTCACATGAGGACATACAATAAGACATGATTCGTTTTCGTTTCATACATTTAAAATGTAGAAGGCGAAATTTTACATACATACTATTTTCGATATCTCTACCCTGATCTACCTACTATAAATAATCAAATGTCCTTAGACCAAATGTTTTCTGTCCAATATCTATCTGTCCAATTGTCGTGCCACTTAAATCATATTTTTACTTTTGAATGTCGTTGTCATGGTGATGCGTTTCTCCTTATCTATGTATTTGTAAACCTAATTTTAAACAAAAATGTCAGATTCTGATTCGCAAAAATATCTAACAATAAGAAATGAAATAGATGTATTTGTATTAGCTCGTAAACAATTAGAAGAACGGCGAAAAATTGACGAGGAACAAGAACAACGTTGGGCAATTGTTGCTAGAAAGAAAATGAATCAAGGCTCGGGGAACGAAAAACAAGGTAACTTTTGAGGACTCGACTTTTGAGGATAATCTCCATTAAATTAGACATAAGGTCAGTGATAAAAATAATATATAGAAGAGCTCATATTTGTGAAAATAAACCTATTTTTAGGCGTAATTTCTGAAATTAAAAATATTTTTACATCTCAAAAAGTTATGCAGTATCCTCGAATGTCGAGTAACCGAAATTCTTAATTTGACTTAAATTTTTTAGAAGAAAATTCCACAGATTTGAATAATACAAAATCAATAGCAGGTTTAGATGATTCTACTTTAATATTCTGTGGAGCACCAAATTCAGTTATATTACTTTAATTTATTTTCTTATTTTTCCCTTAAGGGTAAATCAACGTTATTATCTCGTTTTATTGAATTTGGCGGTGCTCCTTCAACATCATTTCGTCAACAACCTACTGAAAAAAGTATTGCTCTTGAATATAAATTTGTTAACAAAATACTAAGAGGAAGTGTTAGTTTTTACATTGGATTTTGAAAAATTCTAATCATAATAGAGTCGTCAGTTAGTTCATTGCTGGGAATTGGCTGGTGGTGGTTCAATGACCAATTTGTTAGAAATCCCTTTTAATCAACCTTCTAGGATCGCTTCTATATTGCTTTTTGTTGATTTGACAATGCCTGAACAATTGCAACAAATAACTGATCCAATTATGACATTTTGTCAGAAGCAAGTTGAGAAATGGATGATAACAGATATAGAGCCCCAACAAATAAAAGAAGAGTCGAAAATTATAAAGCCTCTTGGTATTCCATTAGTACTTGTATGTGGACGTTATGATGACTTCCAGGTTTGGATATAAGATTCGTTTTTTATTTTATCTCTTAGAATTTTGAAAGCGAACGCAAAAGATTAACTTATCGTTCAATCAGACAGTTTGCACATATTAATGGAGCGTCAATAATTGTAATTTTGTGTTTATCTATTACTATATTTTTTTGTATTATTTAATTTTCAACTCCCAGACATTTAGTGCACGAATAGATTCTTTAATGCAAAAGGCACTTTTATTGCTTTCAAATGCAGTTTTAGATGTGCCTTTCCCAAGAACATTTGCAACTGATCCTCAACAGCCTCTTTTTGTATTACCATATGGAATTGACTCTTTTGAGGTAATAAATTTTGTTTAGGTAAACAAGAAAACATCGTTTTTCAGAAAATTGACCCTTCAGAAGAATCTTTAATTAATTCTATAAGTTCATATAGTGAAGCTATGTTTAATTATATACAATCATTAAATTCTGCTTTCCCTCAACTACAGCAACAAATTGATGATGCTGGAGGAGGTGAGCGAGATAGACGACAACAATTCGATGAACCTAGAATTGATGCATTTGTAGAGGAAAGAATGAGGGTATTTTTAACAATATTTTAAATAAATTTTAAAAATATTTTAAAGAAATTAGAATTGCATGTTAGAGAATTGCAAGATAGGTTAAAAACAGAGAAAAACTTGGAAAATCGACAAAATATTTAAAAAAGTTTTTTAAACGTTATGTAAATCTTTTTTATTAATTTAGCTATTAAAAACTCTAACTACTAAAAAATTCAACTTGCAATTTTGCCCTTTATTTTTTATTACTACTTGAGACAGAAATCATAGAAATATTGTCTTCCCTATTGTTGCTTTTAAATTTTTTATATTTTTAAATCATTTATAAGAAATAGGATTTGTACTTGGGATTTTTTTAGTATTCTTTCTAAATTTGCTGCTTTTGAAGGAATTTAAAGAGTCTGGGGCAAATATTTTGCTTATTTGTTTTCCTTTCTAAATATTGAAAGGAACAGCGCACAGGTCAAACAAAAAGTTAATATGGTATATATAATGGGCAATAGTGTTAGAGTTAAAGAGAGATAGATGATTCTATGACTTTTTTAATTCGTGTATTGGACAGTAAAACGATCATCCTCTTTCTAATAGTCTAAAATTAGCCTATGTTGTTCCTGTTAAAGAAAAACAAACAACCACCTTTCTTATTCTTTGATTTGAAGCGGATGAGCTGGTGAGAGAAGGAGAGCCTTTCGGGAAGAAGTATAGAGAAGGGATATGTCAACCCGAAAGATCATAGCCGAAATGCAACGTTTCTAAATAAAAATCGGTGAAAGGGCAAAATAGCGGTGAAAGGGTAAAAGTATATAAACAGAAT